AATAAAATAAAATGTTCCTTAATTTTCTAATCTATTTGTTCTTACTTTTCATTTTCTCCTTCTCCTTTCATTGAAGCTGTTATAATAGTAATGTACCAAACCCAGTACCTCCTTAGGTACTGGGTTTGGTACATTACTATTATAACAGCTTCAATGACTGTTTATTAAAATAGATAGACAGACAGACTTGGCAGCAATGTAACATGAATATATTGAATGCCTTACGGGGATATTAGAATTGAAAATACACATTTTATGGACTGCTAAGACATATGAGAGATGTAAGCAACTCTGACAAGTGCTTATAGAAAACTCTTAATGAATGCATGATTGAATCAAATTCATTGTAAGCAGGCTAATGGTTTTTCAATGCTACTTCCTCATCTGTGAGACCTTTTGAACTGTAGACCCTTTTAATCCATATTAGGTTTTTTCAAATTTATGTCATCATTGTGAATAATTTGAGTTGCAATGTCTCTAAGAGTTTTAAAAAATAAAATAATGATTGATATATCAATTGCTATTCTGCTATGTATTTCAGACCTAGAGCTATAATCCTCTAGATTTTAAATACGTAGTCACATAAAGGTAATTTTTTACAACCTAAAATAATTTCAAAAATTAACTCCTATTAGTTTGTCTTTTTTCATGTTATTTCTCTTTATTCTATGAGTTAAGTGCTTTTTGCCCAGCAAATAAAAACTGAGCATTGTGGTGGTACATACCTCATGCCAACATTAATATGGACATTTGGTTAATGCTGTCTGATGGCTTAATTAACATTTCAGATTCTCTTAAAAATGTAAGAATAAATGATGGCATAGTTCATTTTAAAAGGCAACATAAAGGATACTAAAGATAGAAAAATTGTGTACTGGCATCTTTTTACTTATCACATGTTTATGTTATTAAGACAATGAGTGCCTTGGATATGGATGACACTATGACCATTTCAGGGTAGGACTTTTTAAATAATACACACAAGCTTTGTCCCTTTATATGATGACATTAAGAATTGGGATATGGTGTTTAAAGTCTTATGCAATTATATGTGTTGCCAGTTCCTGCAATCTTTTTTGTGGAGGAAAGATTGCAGGATAGGTTTCTCGATCAGAAACAAATGTCTGTTGTGTTTACTCAGTTCCCACTCTGGGCAACCTAGAATACTGTGGGATTTTTTAAATTTATAATTAAAAAACCAATGTTCTAATTAAATCAGTACAAAGAGGTAACATTTAAACAAACAAAGCAAAAGGCAGATGTTCCTAACCTGTCCTCTTTGTAGATAATTTCAAAGCTTGGGACAGCCACACATAATGACCCAACAAATATGCTTCTGGCTGTGAGAGGATTCTGAAAAGACATTTTCTAAAGAATTGAAAGTCCAGGAAAACACTTTAAGGAGAGCACAGTCTTGGAAATAGTCTGGTCCTAAGTGATGTCAGTGTTTATACATAATGACTAGTACTTTGAATTGTTCCTGGAAACAGATCAGAATAATCTCTTCTCTACACCACCTGTAGAGGCCCTAAGCAATAATCTGGCTACAGGATTCTGTAGTTTCCAAACAAATTTCAAAGGCAGAACATTTTACTGAATGTCCAAACAGAGCATAATTAAGGCTCAGATCATTGCATTTAATTCTGACATCTCCAGTAGCGCACATACATAACAAATCTAGGAGTACATTGAATCTTCAGATGTGAGACTTCAAAGAAAGTATGATTTCACCTCAAATTTCATTCCCTGAGCATATTTTTAGACTGACCAGGGAGATTTGTCTGGATTGCACTTCAGTTTAATTACCTTTATCCAATTCATGGCAAACAATATATTGATTTAGAGTTTAAATAGTTTGTTTAGATATCTTTTCTGTGTAATAACGACACCAACTCTAAAATTCTGGACCAGTGATTGTCAGATAATTTATGTTCGATTCCACCAAATACTCTATAAGAGCCGCTGTGGCGCAGTGGTTAGAGTGCAGTACTGCAGGCTACTTCTGCTGATCACTAGCTGCCAGCAGTTTGGCAGATCGAATCTCACCAGGCTCAAGGTTGACTCAGCCTTCCATCCTTCCAAGGTCGGTAAAATGAGGACCCAGATTGTTGGGGGTAATATGCTGACTGTAAACTGCTTAGAGAGGGCTGTAAAGCACTGTGAAGTGATATATAAATCTAAGTGCTATTGCTATAAAAAAATCTTGTCCTACCATGACAAAAAAAAAAGGCATATTTTCCAAGAGGACATGTTTATGTTTACAAAAAAAATTATTACGCTCAAAAAGTATGATTTTATATATAGTAATGCTTTCGCCTTGTATACATATATAGAAGTGAAGTCACAACAAGCTCTACTGAGTTTATTTCTGACCAGACTTGTACTTGGATGGTGGCTTTTATTATATTTGCTAAGAAAATAATTGGGCATACTTTTGCTTTAATAGTCTGAAAAAGATGGAGGAAAAAGCCTAAGGCCATAATAGAATGAAGGGCCACTAAGTCTTACTGGTGCCAAATGATTGCCAATAAATGCCAGTAGACTTGTGAGTTTGAAAAGGAAGCTAACTCTGGATGCATTAAGGTGCTGCCTATTTCTATTTCCTTCCTCTTCCTCTTCTTCCTCAATCTGATGTTGGCCTATAGCTTCCTTGATAGACTGAACAGGAGTTGGAATAACTAGCTTACTGAAGCCACCTACCGTCTTTGGCTTCTAACACATGGAAAACTCAAGAAGAGGCAATTTATGCATTGGCAATGTATGTAAAAGAAGTAAAGAAGTAAAGAAATAAATGTATGTAAAAGAAGGATTCAATGAGGGGGCTGATGTAGCAGAACCTCCAGGCCTGAAAGAGTCATGATGTGAGAACAGAAAGCCTGGAAGGGAACCGGATACACTGACAGCTCTGAGCTACATGCACTACTGGGGAAGCTCTATAAGCTGATTTTGAATTACTTCTTGAAAGCTTCTGCATATCACTAGTCTTAGACCAGAGTTCCCCAACTTTTCTGTCTTTGTGGACTGGTGGGGAGGGGAGAGGGGATGGTTCCACGTGAGTGGTGGGCAAATGCGCACATACAGCTCTATTTGTGCGAACGGCAAGCACGAACTCCTGCTGCTTGCACAAATAAAGCCCAAACGCATTTGTCCACTGCTCATGCAAGTGGGAATGTGCACGTGCACACTCACCTACCAGTTCCACGGCCTGGTTCTGAACGGGCTCAAGGCCCAGTAACGGGCCATGGCCTGGGCGTTAGGGACACCTGTCTTAGACTACTGAGAGAAAAACCTGGACATATTGTTCATGTATGCTTGGGCCTTTGATTTTTAGTGTTGTTGGCTATAGATTTTTATTTTGTTTTAGAAAGGTTTGGAGAATTGTAATAAGAAGAACACTGTTGATTTTTTAAATTTACTAGAAGGAAACTTAAATTGTATTTTGCTATATCTTGATTATAGCAATGAGATATTCATTGTTTTGATATTTTCAGCAAGCTGCAACAAAATGCTTTGAGCAAATACAAGACTGCTGCTATCTTTAAATTCTTTATTAAACCAAGCTAGAGAGTCATTAATAAATATTACATTTCTGCTCATTTTCCTTGCCATTCAGATCAAATCAATCTTTTTATGGTCAAAGATCAGCATAAATGGAGGGTAGGGTACAAGGAATTTTAAAGCACAAAAAATATAAAATGAAAATTAAATAAGTTAAAAAACATAAAAACAAGTACCCATTGTTTTAAAACTGGATTCTGATATTATCCATCACATCTTTCTGTGCAACAATTGTAGTGAATATCTAAGCCATATATTCCATTCATAACCAAAACATGAAAGATACATACTCATCATGACTTTCAAATTAATCGTGAACAAAGTAGAAACAAATTAATTCTTTGCTTTAGCAGGTAATCATTACCATTTCTGTTGCATTTGTGTTCTTTTAAATATTCCAATTTTACCCACATTCTCAAAACTTTTAGTAGTGCTCAACATTTCTTCTCACACAAGAACCCCTGCTCCAACAGCTTGGACCACACCTTATTTCAAAAACATTATTGATTTTTAAACCTTTTTTTCTATCTTACTTTTAGGTTTCTTAGCAATAATACACTGGGCAAGTGCTGTGGGTGGGTTATAATAACAAACTTCTCTTTGTGACATGTTTTCTTCTATGCATATTAAAAATAAAATCTGTAACTTTGGACTTGGATGACTAAGCTAATTATTTTAAAAATAGCTAATAGCTCTTGTCATTGGCACATAATTAATGGCTGTTACAAATGTGCCATGCCTCTGAATTTTTTTTTCTTTTTACATTCAGGTATACACACACACACACACACACACACACACACACACACACATACATGCACACAGAGAAAGATTCACATTTACAAATATTCCATTTAGGTGCTTTAAGTGATTTTTTAAAAAATTATACTATTATTATGTTTTAATGTTTTCATTTGCTGGTGTATGTGTAATAAAAATTGATTGGTTGAGTGAAATAATATTTTTATAGAGAAAACATTGTATTGTGTTGTTATATTGTTCAAAGGTCATGCATCAAAAAGTAAGGAAAGAAGGAAAGAAGAATATGACAACCAATGTGAACATTTAATATAATTTATATAATAAATTTTATCTGGGGGCTAACTTTTGTTATACTCCGGATGTCAGAGTTGGGCATAAGGTTGAGAAATCCTGGGTTCTCAGAAATTGGTTCCTTTGGGGATTTACTATCCTCTTTTTATTTTTATGTGTTGAAGAATGCAGAATAGATTTTAGAATATGCTTATAGCAATAGTAATCATGAAAATTCTGCTAGAGTGTTTTAATGTGATGGAGAGATATGTGTTTTTGGAGTATATAGAATTTTATGGAAACTTTAATACTTCATTTTTAAAAAAAATACATTTAACACATTGTTGACTGATACTTTAAAGTTTTAAAAAGATGGCGCTGTCTTTTTTTTTTTTTTTTTTTTTTTGCAGGATGGGCGGTTACGAATAAATGACCAGCTTATTGCAGTAAATAGTGACTCTTTGCTTGGAAAATCAAACCATGAAGCCATGGAGACTTTGAGGCGTTCAATGTCTATGGAAGGAAATATTCGTGGCATGATACAACTGGTAGTTCTCAGGAGGCCAGAAAGGCAAATTGAAATGGTAGGGGAAACATTTTTTATCCACCTATCTTTGTATCTATTATATCAAACATTGAACTGGGATTGCAGTAATTAACAGTGACATCTACCAACCTTGATCGTTGATACATAATGCTAAGCCATTATGTTCTTGAGAACTACTAAATAGGAAAAGATTCATCTCAGATATTTATTTATTTTATTTATTTATTTATTTAATTTGTATACCGCCCTTCTCCAACAGGACTCAGGGCGGTGAACAGCCACGGTAAAAACACAACATATAAAATTTAAAAACAATTTAAAAAACATTAAATAATTTTGGCCATCAATTTAAAATAACCCAATTAAAACCAATTATAAATTTAAAACCGCAAGGATGGGGTCAAGCCAGCCCGGCTAGATGAAATAGATGTGTTTTCAGGGCCTGACGAAAAGTCCAGAGGTCTGGTATCGGGCGTATCTCTGGGGGTAGGTTGTTCCAGAGGACAGGTGCTGCTATAGAGAAGGCTCTCCCCCTGGGGGTCGCCAGCCGACATTGTCTGGCTGACAGCACCCTAAGGAGGCCCTCTCTGAGCAAACTGGCCGGTGGGAGGCTATTGGCGGCAGAAGGCGGTCTTGTAGATACCCCGGCCCTAAGCCATGGAGCGCTTTAAAGGTGGTCACCAACACCTTGAAGCGCACCCGGAAGACCACAGGAAGCCAGTGCAGCTCGCGCAGGAGAGGTGTCACATGGGAGCGCCCCATCGCTCCCATAATTCCAGAATGCGCAGCCGCATTCTGGACCAACTGGAGCCTCCGGGTGCACCCCAAGGGGAGCCCCATGTAGAGAGCATTGCAGTAGTCCAGGCGGGAAATGACGAGTGCCTGAGTGACCGTGCGTAGGGAGTCCTGATCTAGAAAGGGACGCAACTGGTGAATCAGGCGGACCTGATAAAAAGCCCCCCTGGCCATGGCCATCATATGCTCTTCTAAAGACAGCCATGTATCCAGGAGGACGCCCAAGTTGCGAGCCCTTTCTGTGGGGGCCAATGATTCGCCCCCAATAACCAGCGATGGCACCAGCTGGCTATATTGGGATGCCGGAAGCCACAGCCACTCAGTCTTGGAAGGGTTGAGTCGGAGCCTGTTTCTCCCCATCCAGCCCGCACGGCCTCCAGGCACCGGGACATCACTTCAAGGGCATCATTGGGGTGGCCTGGGGTGGAGATGTACAGCTGAGTGTCATCAGATATGGGTAAAGAAACCATTTTTTTAAAATTTAATGTTGATTTGTTCCTTCTTCCTTTGTGAAAATTCATAGGTTGTCCAAGACGGGCATATTCTCATGTATTGCCAGTTTTCTTACTATTACCAAGAAATGCAGCACAAAATACAAGTTTTACCCTTTTCAGCAGACTTTGCTAAATTCACCATTACATTTTTGTTTCTGCCATTTTTAAACCATCCCAATTAAGACTTCTTGTCATTATTTTTTTTACTATTGCCTTCCAAATACTTGAACAAAATTATCAGCTGACATAAAGATTTGCGTGAAATTTCATAGAAATATAAAGAAATATAAAGGAGCCTTGGTAGTACAGTGGTTTAAAGCACCCTGTTATTAAGACCAGCTGCCTGCAATTACTGCAGGTTCGAATCTCGCTAGGCTCAAGGTTGACTCAGCCTTCCATCCTTTCTAAGGTAGGTAAATTGAGGACCCAGTTGTGGGGGCAATAAGCTGATTTTGTATGAATATACAAAAGGATGAAGGCTATTGCTTAGCACATTGTAAGCCTCCCTGAGTCTCCGGAGAAGGGCGGCATATAAATCAAAATTAAAAAAAAAATTAAATTAAATTGCCCAACATTTATATGGTTAGTGATGAAGGGCTTTGTGAAAATTCTTTTGACCAACACATCACTAGGCCCATAAATCTTTCTCCCCCTCCTTTTACCACTCAGCCAGCAAACCCAAATGACAATAGAATGGAATGGAATGGAATAGGAATGGAATGGAATAGGAATGGAACAGAATGGAATGGAGTGGAATGGAATAGAATAGAATAACAGAGTTGGAAGGGATCTTAGAGGTCTTCTAGTCCAACCCCCTGCTCAAGCAGGAAACCCTATACCCTTGCATTAAAATGTAAATGATAAGTACAGTTTGTCTTAAATCTTATTTTCTACAATGCACTAACAGGAATTATCAGATTATTTTTCATGCTGTCCATAAAAAACCAAACATTGTTCCCAAATTGCAAAGAAGAATATGTATTTTTTTTGTTAAACAGTTGCTAATGATTGAGTTATGATCTTCAATTCATATTTTTGCAATTTTCTCAGTCTTAACTGTATCAGTGTGCATATATGTATTATGGCTTCTCTTATGAAAATAGAGATATGAAATGCAATATACCTTTTTCACATGCCTTGTGAAAAATGCCTAATGAGCATCTTATTGAGTCTAACTCATTTTAAACACTGTTTTTTTTTAATAAAATATGCTTCCAGTTCAATTGTAATTCCATTTAGAGCTAAAAAGTATAGCAAAAAGAGCCACGACCTGTTCTTTCTGTTGCCTGTTTAAAAATCCATTATTTTTTTTATTGGCTGGGACACTAATGGCATCTTTTCATGACTGTTCTGTTTCACTAACTGAGGACCCTAATTAGGCGGTGTACTGATCAGTTGTTGAGCTATTGATTTGGTTGTTTATCAAAGACCTAGAAAAGCAGGTTTTCATCCCATTGCTGTTAATTTAAAAGTACCTCCGCATGAGCTACCTGCATTTGCTTCAAGCTTAATGTATTTTTAACACCAGAAAAAAATTACAAATTGTAGTGTAAAGGACATAAAGTAAGATTATGGGGGTTTTTTTCCCTTTTTTTTAAATTGAGAAGAGATGCTGTACTGGATAAAAATGCCTTATTACTTATTAATATAAACTTTAATATTTTAGTTAAATAGCTCCTATTATATCCGTGATGGCGAACCTATGGCACATGGGCCAGAGGTGGCACACAGAGCCCTCTGTGTGGGCACATGTGCTGTCACCAGCTGCTTTTCTGGCTTCCGATGCGCACCGGCCAGTTGGTCTTCACGCATGCCGGAGCGCTGTAAACCCGAAGACCAGGTTGCCGGAACGTGCATGCACACCGGCCACCTGGTCTTCGGGTTTATGGCGCTCCCACGTGCATGTGTGTGCACGTTCCAGTTTGGGCACTCGATGCCGAAAAGGTCGCCATCACTGTTCTATATGATTTCCTACAATAATACTTTCAGTAAAGTGCTGAGGAATATCCCCACTCCTGCTAGTCTACATCAGGAGCATTACAATGCTAGTTCAAGCTCTCAGAAGGATTGGTTAAACAGGGGAAAATGAGAAAATTGGGATTTAGTTGAAAATTAGTTTGATAATCTGTTTCCACTGCAAGACTATATTTTTATTGGCAGATATTATCTTTATATGCCTTATATACAGATAGAATTATACAGATGTTTTTAAGTCTGATTATTGAAACTCGCAAAAATATCAAAAGATAAAGAAGGAGGTAAAAACAAAATCGGCAACCTGGAAAGTGTAATAGAAGGAAAAGCAAATAATTCAACATACCGCTTAAAAAGAAAAAGAAAAAAGACTTCAAGAGCAAAATGCAAGAGATAAAAATGAGTTATTCATAATGTTTTAGAGTGAGATATGGAAATACTAGAATATTTAAAGGAAAATAACTTTATTTATAACAAACTATGGGAGAAATAGGTTAGGAAACATAACACAAGGGAGGGAGGTTTTAAGAGGAAAATGGAATATGAACAGAGTGTTTGTACACCAATTAGATAAAGGAATCATTCAGTATTTATTTGTTTGTTTGTTTGTTTTTCATACTTCTTAACCACACATCTATTATAGATTATATTATAAATTGTTGTACAATGTATTATTATATTATAAATTGTATTATACAATTGTATTATAAATTGTTATATATTATATAGATTATAAGTATTACGTATTTAAGTTAAAATAAGTAAATAAAATGTATTAGATACTTGAGACGTATAGTTTACAACAAAATTAAACTTGATAAATAAAGAATCCAGTGAATAGAGTGAGATATTTAAAGTATGCTGAAAGGAAAAATAAACTACAGAGGTACTTTATGAGTGTTGGTCAAAGGTAATAGGATTAAATTGAGGCAGAGGCTGTTCAATTGCTAGTGTATGACTAGTGTTGACAATGGAATTATCTGAATGAGCATTTTAACAGATTATTTAAATTAAATGCTTTGGGTGTGTACATGATTAAAGAATAGATAGCAACATACCTAAACTAGAGCAGCAGAATTCTTATCTGAACAATAATTATGGCTAAAAAAGAAATAAAAATGAATAGCAATTATAACTATTGTTAAGAACAAAACCATAAAAATGAACAACAAAAACAGTTCTGGAGATCTTCAGAATAGCAGATATGTTGCAGGACAAAAGAGGGAATCAGATATTTACATCCTTTCAGCATGCCAAGAACTTCAAGAAGAGCAGCCCCGAAAAAGTAAAAATGAAAAATGAAAGTTAAAAGAAAAGATGAATGAAAAATGATGGAAATGACTGTACATGTAAATGTGTTTATGAGAAATAGAAATAAAAAAGTTTTTTTAAAAAAAGAATCGCAGCTGGTGGACCCCCGGAAGCTGGCAATTGAATAGGATTCTAGATCTACAATGAGGTTCAGACTTTCTGGAGATATTTACCACGATTTTAATACTTTTCTTAAGGGACAGGGAGTCTAAATAGTAACACTTAGCGATGGCTAGATAGTCCATCTTACCAGGGACTTGATCATAAACGTAGAAAATGGAACCTTTGCCAAGAATATTTTAGACCATAGCGTAGCAGGAAGCATCCTGGGATGGTCTGATGACATATCTAATCAATACCGTGGGAACCTAGACAGCATTTTTCTACCTGCACTAAATGCATATACAGAGAAATCTGCAATGCACAAATACAACTAAATAAACTTTTCTCCATGGGTATTTCT